TCCCTCAGCGCGGGTCGCCCCCATCTGGCGCCGGCCCCCGGGCACGGGGCTTCGCGTCTACCCGGTGTTCCCTCTGCCGGGGCCCGGCTCTCGAAGGAATCCCTTAGCGCCAAATCCTCCCCTCCCCCCGACCCGAGTCCGTTCCGTGTCCAGCTTTGCGGACGCTCGGCTCCCTTCCTGCCGACCGACCCATGCCACACCCTCAGGACCCCTTCATTCCCTGTGCTGAGGTCCCGCGTCACCTCCCTCCTCGGCCCCCCGCTGGCCCGCTCGGCTCCCCTCCCCCACTGCACCCGGCGGCCCAGCCCCCGGGGCCGGGACACCTGCCCCCGAGTCGTCCCCCATTAGCTGGTCCAATCTTGGTCCCCTTCCGCCCCGGGCTGGACGCCCCAGCCCGGAGAATCCCCCTCACCTAGCCCAGCCTTGCGCCCTGAGCCCTGCGCTCCCTCTGCCCCCAGGCCGGGCGCCTCAGGTCCTCCCGGCCGCTCCCTTCCCCGGCCCAGTGTTTTATTTGTATCTGTTTGATATTTTCCCCCCTCGGTGTTTGCCGCGGAATGTTTTTATTGGTAACGTGTAAGGCGCTTTAGTGAGGTCGTAAAAGGTGAACTTTTGAACTTGGAAAGCGCCCTGGAGCAATTAGCGCAGGCGATAGCCCCGGGAGGCCTGCATTACAAAGGGTGCTCGCCCGGCCTGGCAAACGCTGCGGCGGCAAACCCGACTTATTTATTTATTTGCCCTGCCTTCCACCTTTCACGTATCCTCATTTCCGAAGAAAGGGCAGCCTGTCGAAGATCCGTGCCGCTTCCCCTCTCTGCGCCGTAAACTCGCACTGCTCCGGAAGATCTAGCACCGAGCAGTGTCTAGCAAGTAACAGATTTCAAATTGAATGCAAACACCCAGGTCAGTTAGGAGGCACTAAAAATTGATTGCTATGGCCAGAAGTTTCTCTTATCAGGATAGTGACCTGGCAGGTGTGAGGAAAGTAACCTGAAAATTGGTCATCTAGGGGCTCAGTAGTTGAATGAATGAGCTGCTACAGAAGGGGGGCAGTGCGGTAACCTTGGGCTGGGTCTCACACTTCTTAACACATCATACATTTAATGCTGATTCAGTGGATCTGGTATTTTTCCTAGTTAAGGGAAAAGCGTATTTTGAAGAGAGCCTGGTACCTTCATTTGATGTTGCTGACCACATAGCTATGTGTTTTCGGCGATCTCTGGTCCTTTTTAAAGATGTGCATGCTGTGTGGAGTCTTCGTTGTTGGCAGTCTTTGGAGACTAATTTCTGAATGTGAACATATTTGAGATCAATAAAATCCTGTGTCACAAAGGAGGAGGCAGGAGTTCAGTTAGGGTAGAAAGCCAGTTATCAGGAACAAAGGATTTCTTTAATGCATTTGACTTTTTAAGCTGTTTTGTGTGGTGGTTTGGTTTGGTGTTACTGTGTGAGTGTTATAAAATCCTGATCTAAAATTTACCATGCTGATATTTTATCCAAGCTCTGGATCTGTCTTAGAGTCCATATTTAATGTGTATATTTTCATATTGCCTTCTCATGTGTGACTATTTCCTATGTTCACCTGTGTATAACACAAAGCTGATGTATTTTACTGTCGACATCACTTTTCAGTAATAGTTGAGAATAATAATGTAAGCCAAGGGAAGCCTGGGGATTACATTTGCTATTAATTATTCATTAGTACATTTTAAAGAACTCAATTTTAACTCTTAATCAAATTTCCCATTCATAGTCTCATTTCCTGAATTGGCCAGAACCATTTAAAAGACTGTTAGCCAGCAGTCCATTTAGGTTAAGGTGGTGCTTTTAATATTTTACAGTTCCTTTTCGGTTGAAATCACACAGGGAACTTTTGGCAATTTGTATATAAGAAAATACACGAGACATTAGACTTGGGAGATTTAGCATTGTGTGCTGTTAAAATTCGTGTTCACTAGCTCTTATGAGAGTGTGAGTGAAATTGCTTATGTTCTAAGCAGAGAAAGTTAGACTTTCTGTATTTATGTTTGCAATAGATATCTATTTAGAAGGCTTTTTGGTTTATATCATGAAGGAATAAACTGGAGGTGGAATTTTAGAAATGTCTTCCTGTTGGAAATGCATTGATGCTGAATTTGTTTCTGTGTGCCCTCAGTCAATTCTGAGATGCTGAATTTACAGTCCTTTAATGGTTTTTATTCTCTCAGAACAGAGATTCCTGCCTTTTGATGCTCCATCACCCTTCCATGAATTCCATGTGCTTTCTTAGATATTTTCAGTTGTTGCTTGTGGGTTTTCATAACAAAAATGTACTAAGCAATAATAGAGGGCTGCTCTTTTTTAGGGTTTTAAAGGAAGATGAATGATTTGAGGAAGCAATTGTTCATTTTATTTTAAGAGATTGAAGGAGTAGAATTAAATATTTGAAGTTAAGAAAGGTTACATGTCATTTTAAGTAATTAAAAAGCATATACTGTCTTTATACTTTGGAGGAAATGGGGAAAGTTCACTAAATAACATGTATTTTTCTTGCTGTGATGGGGCCATTCAAATAATGTATTCCTGAAACTAAATTAGCATTTTTCCATATCAATTTAGCACTTCAGTTTTGTGACTTTTAAGATGAAGTTCTGAGTTAATTCAGAGTGTTCTACAAAAAATAAAAATAAAGCATAATCTAGCACCGTGGTTCTTTATCCAAACAGCGCACAGTTGTTTTGGTGGCTATGTGACCTCCAGAGAACACTGAAAGGCAACAGTGAACAAAATTCAGTGATAATTTGTGAAACTGAGGTGGGAGATGACCATACTCTGTTCTCAGATATAAGATCTACAAATTCTGAGCATTCTAGTCATGTAATCAAAATTTGATTATGTCATACTTCGTAATCTAGAAGACATCCTAAATTTTATAGCAAAAGTGTGTGTGTGTATGTGTGTGTGGTGTGTGTGTGTGAAAAGGGATTTAGATGGGGAGAGAAGTAGAAACCTGAGGGGGCAAAAAACTTGGTGAATTTCCTAAAACATGCCCAAATCACATTTAAAAAAAATGTTTAGAATGTCTTGATTTCTCAAAAAATGTCTGTTTTTTCCTAAGGCTGTGGGGTAAGGATAGAAAACAGATTTTAGATTAAAATATGTGCTTAGAAATGTCAACTACAATAATATTGGTAAGGAGGTTTCTTAATATTTCTAGTGTTTGTTTATGTTGGCCAAGGCCATTCACTTGCTACAGGGCCTGGAGCAAAGTTAGTGAGCTTTATCTTCCATTAAGGCACCATTACTTAGTTTTTATAACTAGATAGATACTTACTGGTTTGTGGTAAATAAGTTAGTCCATTAATTAATTGTGTCCAAATGTCAAGTTCTGGATTCTGAAATACAAGATTTCAAGGTCTCAAGCGTCTTTTAAAATCTTTGTTTTTTGTGTTTACTTTTACATTGTAGCCAAGGTAAAGGACATTTCTCTGCTCAGTATTTTTTGCATGTATATAAATTTGGGCAGATGCTTCTAAGAGTGAATTTTACTTTGCTGGTCAAATATATTCTTTTAAAATAGCACAGTAAAAATGCCTTACTTTGAGCCAGATCCTAATCATTTTGTATGTGAAAAGAGGTCAGCCTCAGGGGGAAAAAAAACAATATTTGAATCAACAGATAAGCAAGGTTGGGTCTTAGCTAAGATTCTGAGTCCTGGAAACAGTTTTAAACAGAAGGTAGCTAGATAAGCCCACACAAGTAGCGGTCTAATACGGTATACTCAGTTCTTTGTAAAACTTTGAAAGTTTCCATAACCAATAAATTGTGAAGAAAAATGTGTTCTTTCAGATTTTTGTCTTAAGGTGAATTTTTAAAAAGCTTTTCATGTCTCAGGTAGCTTCTTAAGGGCTTATGAATGCCTTTAATTAGTAGAAACGAACTCAAAAGTAAAGAATTATTAAAAGTGGACCAGAAAGGTGCTGGGTAAATAATTCTTTTTCTGGTCTTGAGCTTTTAATCTGTGGTAGAGCAGAAATATCAGATTCAGGAGAGCTTAATAATCGTATGTAACTTGCAGTGCAGTACTTATAAAATCAAGCCCAGCGTTCAGTTATTTGCTTGTTTTCCAGCATAGCTGTTTTAACAGAAAAAAGATGAAACTTTTGACAGTAGCTCATGGGAAATGAAAAGAAAACCATTATGAGATTTCTAACTTGCTTTTCTGTGAGATTTACAAGTGACTATAGATTAGAGAATTTTATTCAAAAGAGTGAAAATGTTACTTACGTACTTTATTAAGTTCTTCATTCTCTTTTAAACCTGCTGTTTAGCAGCTGTGTAGAATAGCTTCTCAAGAAAAAAAATATTCTTTTCCCACTGGTTACATTACTTAAATAAAGCTCTAGTGGGTAAACCTGGTAATTCTAATTAACAGTGATTTCTTTGGAAGCAGACCAGGAGTTCCTCAGCTGGCTGCTGGGGAGCTGAATTGCTTTTTGCCCCACCCCCAGCAGCACCAAATCTTTTGATCCCCACGCTACAGTGGTTGTCATTTGAGAAAGCAAACCAGGAGAAAATAAGTTACGAAAACAGCTTACTC